TTTACAAGAGGAGATGTCAATTCTCGTCACCGTGTTTATGCAACTCCCATCCGTAGCGCACATTTTGTTCTGGAAAGCGAATTAAAAGTCTTACCTTGTCCTTATCTTTGTTCTTGCCCCAGGGCAAATTGAGTTCATCTTTCTGTGCTTCCTCCTTCTTTATCTCCTCGTCCTTACCCGCAGCTGCCAAAGACAAAGATGGGACAGGGTTTTAAGGACCATGTGTCCACATATCGCAATATGGAGCGCAAAACCTGTTCGCAGGTTTTGCGCGAACAAAAGCGCAAAATCTTCGAACAACAGAAGAGTGCAGCTAAAGAAAAAAAACACGTAAAGCTGCAATATATTTTTACCTTCTGACAGATCGAAACTCATTGTGACTATTACTTATGCGCCTCTTCTCTCCGATTCCGAAACAGACTCTGTCAGCGAGCTCTCGCTGCTACTACTTTTCAGGAAATCTGGAGTGACCGACCGCACCTAAGTCACGTGTTCAACACCGCACCACGCCCAGCAAACGCAGTTCGTTCTTGCGGTGAGGTGAGAGGGAGACGTTGTGAGGTAGTGTTATATTTCTTATTTGTGCGTATTTGATACATAACCTTGCTCGCTGGCCTGTCCACCGTCCACCTGCTTCCCCCACATCAGCTGCGATAAGCTCCAGCCCTCCTACCATCCTCCCGGATAGTCCCTCTCCTCTTTATTTCAAGGATGCAACAGTGTCCATGTTTTTCAAAATGACTTAAAAATTTGGATTATTCTGACTACAGAATAGTTTTTAACCCTTCCATGATCTTTTAAAGAAGAGGTAGATCATGTTCATATATGTCTTCTTCTTTGGATGATAGAGCTTTAACCTGCAATTGTGGATGGCACAGTGAACTGTGCTCACAGACAATGATTTCTGGAAGTGGTCCTGAGCCTGTGCAGTGATTTCCATGACCTGTAGTTATGTCACATGCTATAATATTACACATCTAAAACAGAAGATGGCACCAGAGCTTCTGTAACATAAATTTTATGCAATATATTCAGACTTTCTTTCTATTTATTCAGGATTCATTTGATTTATTCATTCACTATATTTGAGTTTTAATTCAATATATACAGGCTTTCATTTAATTTATTTGAGGCTAATTCCATGTATAGATACACATACATATTGGAATCTCAAATACTGTGTGACAATGGCACTGCTGCTTTCTGAAAGACATATAGCTTGTGCTGCCTTGCTCTTAACTCCATGCAGCAGCAAAAGCCATTGGGTCTGGGGGAACACCTGCGCGTGTCACAACTGTGTCCCACTGTAACATAAATTCGGGCAACCATAATTACTGGGGCACATGGTCCACATGGGTCCAAAAATGACACAGCACAACACACATTTAAAACCATATGCTCAACCTAGTAATCAGTGCAGTGCATACCGCTTTCTATGTCAAGGGGTAACAGAGGTGATCAATTGTGGTTCAGCAATTGAATGGAGTTGCTAAAGAATAAAGCAACTCCTTTTATCTTTTATAATTTGTATTTCCTGACAGTAGTTTAGAGTAGTTACATGTATAAAATATTTACATTGTAATTAACTGTAGATATAGAATTTACTGCTTATAATGAAAGCAGCCTCTAGTAGAAAGTGCTGATGCACCAACTAGTAATAATAACGGCAAACACAAACCACAAACATGAATTCATGCTCTTTTATTTCTCAAACCTTTAACCTGTTGTGATCATAAATTGACATTTCCACCACCAATTGACAAGTTTACAACTGTCAATTGTAAACTTGTCAATTTTAAAAACACAAATCTTTTCTCTCTAATCAAGCGGTGTATTTATTTTGTAAAATTTACTCCAATGAAATCATGACCCAAGGTAACATCATTAAAGCATTCATGATTACATTTAAGTGCTTCCATTGTGATGTAGGCCAGATTTTGGCTGATAACTAAGATCTATGAAATCTTAATATTGGTAAGGTCTGGGCCCTGACAGCAGATCCTTTGAGGTGAAGTGACTAGTGGAGTGTGTCGTGCTGTCTCCAGTCTTCTTCGGGGTGCCCATCAGGCTCTCCATGTAGCTGGGACGTTTGATTACAAGGGATGGCTTGGTGGCAGCTGAAGAACTCACAGGATGCAGCTTCAAGGCAGGAGATGTAAGAGACACATTGGGAGTATCACTTGGCTTGGAGCTGGCAGAAGGTCCACCACTACCTGAGGCTGAAATGCTGGTTTTAGAGTGGCTGCTTTGCTCACCATCAAGGTGGTCCTGGAAATGAACATTAACAATCCATTTTGAACATTTTTAGATTAAAAGCTTTTTTTGTTGTTTCTATTGATTTCACTTCCCGAGGAGCCAAAACTTCGGTAAAAAAGAATAACACTAAAATTATTATTTGTCATTTTTCTTTCATATAATCTGATGATATTAGCATGTTACAGGTCATTTTACCTGTTCCTCCCTTTTCTCACTCTCCTCCTTTTTATTTTCCTTGTCGCTGTCACTACCAGAGGAGCCTGAACTGGAGCTTGAGTCCTGCTCAGAGGGGAAGCATTAGAAACTCATCAACTCACAAATATGATTACCAAAATGAGCAGAGACACATTTTTTTTCCATCACACAGGGTAGAACTACCTTCTTTTTGTCTTTCTTCTTCTTGTCTTTCTTCTTTTTCTTCTTCTTGTCATCATCACTGCTGGAAGAAGAACCCGAAGAGGAACTGGAATCCTGGGATGTAAATATGATAGTGAGGTCACACAATCATAAGACGGATAGGAACCAGAGTTTTGAAAATATACAAAGGAGGAGGAGGCAGTGAGTCCACTCTTCTTTACCTTTTTCTTGTCTTTCTTCTTCTTTTTCTTCTTATCCTTCTTCTTCTTCTTCTTTTTCTTCTTATCATCATCACTAGAAGAATCGCTTGAGGAGCTTGATGAAGAAGAAGAATCCTGGACAAAAAACAAGGAACATATTTCATTTAGAGGAATTACAGTAGCTTATAAATAAATAAATAAAGTCAACCTAAAACCTTAAAGTGGATGCCCCCTCACCTTCTTTTTCTTCTTCTTCTTCTTCTTGTCCTTCTTGTCCTTCTTCTTCTTCTTCTTTTTCTAAATATGAAAAAGAAGACTCAATTTAAATTGTGCAATCTTCTATCTTTCATAATTTTGAGTGCGGCAAATGTGTTTGCAAAGACGAAAATGGCAATATTTGTAGATGTTCTTCTCACCTTGTCATCATCACTATCGGAGGAAGAAGAGGAGCTATCATCAGAAGAGCTAGAATCCTAGAAAGTGCATCAGTCAGTCAGTAACAGAAATACACGATTTTCTGTAAAATATATATTTAGACTTTTTCTAGCCACCTTCTTCTTCTTCTTCTTTGTCTGCTTCTTCTTCTTTTTCTTTTTCTTCTTTTCATCTTCACTATCAGAGGAAGAAGAAGAAGATGAGCTGGAATCCTGTAAAAGAGTTGAACAATTACAAGTTTAATTTATTATTATTAGTATATATTATTATTAGTAGTAGTACTGTTATTAGAGTTCTGTATGGGTAGCTGACAATCTTTTACCTTTTTCTTTTTCATTTTCTTCTTTTTGTCCTTCTCTTCCCCTCCTCCTTCATCATCACTCAGGTTGCCATCCTCAGGTACTGCCTCTACTCCCCCTGCTAGACAGGAAACATCATTGCCATCAATACCATTGCCAATGCCATCAATGCTATTTGATCTATGTAAGAGCTAGAGAAGCATACATACCAGCCAATGTAGAGGAGACTTTGCAATCGTCTGAAGTTTGAAGCTGTCATGGGAAAGGAAAGTAACTATTATATTTTTTTCTTCCTGTCATGCCTTTCTATATAAAACCAGGACGTGGTCACCATGATGTGACCACTCCTGTTTGTAGGCTCCCTAAAGCACTGAGTCAGCTGTAAACATTTAATTTTTCTCAACATGGGGAGAAACCAAGGACACTGAAAACTCCTGTGGAATCATCTTTTCAATGAAGCAACAAACTCCAGAGCAAGAAAAATTAAACAAAAAAAAACTGTAGGTCTTCTGTTAGCCACTTGAGGCTGATCCCAAAAACCTGTCAGCTCCATTAATCTCTCTCAAGCTTTTGTCTCTTGTGCACCGTCATCTTTAGCTATCCCGGTACTTCTTATCTAGGCTAGCAACTTGACAGCCACACAATAAATTTGCACTGAACCATTCTCAGCTTTATCATCTTTTCTGAGTCCAACAGGGCAATCATAATATATAAAAGGAACATCATGCAGTCCTTACTTAAACCTGAAACTGGCAACCGAGAAAAATGATCATGAATAAGTTTGCATCGGCTGTCGCTCTTTTGTTTGCACGTATTGAGTTTGTGCATGCAGGTGTAGTGTGAAAAGTATGCGTGAGCAAATATTTCACCTTGCCAGGAACCTTTTCATCTGGTCCTGGAATCACACCACCTACAAAAATGGAGAAAAGGCAACCAAAAGGATCAACATAATGTAAATGTTTGGCTACTGTGATTTATATTACTGTGCACAAGAGCAAGTAGAAAACACTCACCTGCTGCTGACAGAACAATATCGCTCTGCTCTTCATCCTGAAAGAAGACACAGAAGCACACGCACACAGTTAAGCTAAAAAAATAAACTTCACAAACTTTCAAAATGATAAAAGCTGAGTTATTAGGAATCATTTCCTGATAGTGAAAAGCCAGTGAGAGGGCAAATGTGTTCACTGTAGGCGGGTTATCACAGAGCAACAGGACTGATGCTTTTATTAAACACAAACACAAGTTACTTTACTTTTTTCTCATCGTCCTCCTTCTTCTTGTCCTTTTTCTTTTTCTTCTTGTCACTGTCAGAAGATGAGGATGAAGAGCTGGAATCCTGCATTAAGGAAAAGAAACATCATTCATCTTGTTGTTTAAATAAAGAAATGAAACCCCTATGGTAAGAGTTTCTTCTTCATTGTTCATGCCTGGATACTGACTGTATATTTTGTAACATCATATGAATGTAAGAGGACAACAAACATCCACATCTGTTTTACCTTTTTCTTGTCCTTCTTTTTCTTCTTCTTCTTGTCCTTTTTCTTCTTCTTCTTTTTCTTCTTCTCATCCTCACTATCAGAAGAAGAAGAAGAAGAAGAGGAGGAGCTATTTGAGCTGCAGTCCTGTGGAAAAATGAATATATTTAAAACAAAATATCATCAATGAACTGTGATACAGAAATAGAGAAATTAGTCAGTTGAAAATTAAGAACCTCAGGCATTACCTTCTTCTTTTTCTTCTTCTTGTCCTTTTTCTTCTTCTTCTTTTTCTTCTTGTCATCCTCGCTGTCAGAAGAAGATGAAGAAGAGGAGCTATCTGAGCTGGAGTCCTGTGGAAAAACAAATGTATTTAAAACAAAAAAGTCTTAATGAACTTTTAAACACAAGTGAAATAGAAAGATTAGTCACTTGAAAATTAAGACGCTTGGACAATACCTTCTTCTTTTTCTTTTTTTTGTCCTTTTTCTTCTTCTTCTTTTTCATCTTGTCATCCTCACTGTCAGAAGAGGATGAAGAAGAAGAGCTATCAGAAGACGAGGAGCTGGAGTCCTGTGAAAGGAAAAAATATATAGTTAACACACAAAAATCTCTTGAATTAATGAGTTTTAACACAGAAGTAAAATACATTATTCACTTGAAAATTAAGAAACACAGGGAATACTTTCTTCTTTTTCTTCTTCTTCTTGTCTTTTTTCTTCTTCTTTTTCTTCTTGTCATCCTCGCTATCAGAAGAAGAGGAGCTGGAGTCCTGTGAGAAAGGAATAAAAAGTATTCACATAAAATCTATTTGTGTCTGCACATTAACACAGACACATCAGGCAGACAGACACATCGTAGTGATGTTCATACCTTCTTCTTCTTTTTCTTCTTCTTCTTCTTGTCATCTTCACTGTCAGAAGATGAAGAAGAGCTGGATTGCTGTGAGAAAGGAATAAAAATTATTAAGTATAAATCATTCTCTGTCTTTTTCCTCAGAGTTACATACATGTGGTGACAATGGTGAGTTTCACACCTTCTTCTTCTTTTTCTTCTTCTTCTTCTTTTCGTCCTCACTGTCAGATGATGAGGAAGAAGATTCCTAGGACAGAGGACGTATAATACATATTCATTAACATAGTCTACCATACCTACCATAGTCTACCTTTGTCTCTGTCATTTGTCATTTATGGTATGTTGAAATTTGATAGTCTTATTAAACAATTAGTCGTCGTAAAATTTGCCAGTTTTGGAGGGGAAATTAAACCCACTTTCTTCTTCTTTTCCTTCTTCTTGTCATCCTCATCATCTGATGAGCTAAAATCCTGAGACAAATAAAAAAAAATTACAATGATAAGTTTGGAATGTTTTGATGTATTGTGCTCTGTTTTTCACACAACCGAGTGGTTTGGTGGATCGGTACACAGGACCTATATGATTGATTCAAATTAAGAATTTTTTTCTCTGCTAAACATGTACGGCATGTAAATTATGGTTTGCAATACATTTCTCATGAATCTGATGAAATCCTGATGAAAAAACATGTTGGTCGATTAATAAAGCTGTTCTTTATACCACAGGTGTTACTGGAGCGTCGACCTCTTTAGCAATGCATGTATAAAATTACAGACTTGAGTTGTTTCTCACCTGACCAAGATCGTCTGCATGTTTTATTTGGCCATTGGAACCTGGTGAGATTGAATGCAACAAAATGCAATGCATTAGTTTAATCATTCTGGAAACAAAAAGACATTTTGTTATGTAAACAGCTGGTCTACTATGATCACAGAATGTGGGGTTGCAGGATGGTTTAGACATGTTGTTATAAAGGGGATCTAGACACAGCCCCCATTCTGGCTTTGTGAGCTGACCTCAGCACTACTCCACGATAACCCAATGAATGTTCAGTATCTGTTTGTGAACGGCAAATTAAACAAACTAGCCGTTTGATTTAATTGAAATTTCAGGCTCATCGAGCGAACGCTGCAAAGCAGAAATCAAGAACAAACTGTCATCGTGAAATAGCGTAGATCACCTACCAGCCTGAGATATGACGACACTGTCGTGGATATACTCTTTCTCCTTGTCTTTTTTCTTCTTCTTTTCCTTCTCCTTTTTCTTCTTCTTCTTTTTCTTTTCATCCTGCCAGGAAACATTGAACAGCAGTTGTTTCGTAAATGCATTTTTATTTCGCGTGTATTCATGCAGTGTTGCATTTGTATTAATAAAAAAGACTCGGGAGAAGGATTCAAAATCAGACATCAAAACCAACTCACAGTATGCACATCCACGCATAACCATGCATGAGCAGTGATGCATGGAAGCATGCACACAACTGATATGTTACTGTATTCTCATGATAAGACACATAACTTTCTCAGACACAACTCATGGGTAGCTGGATGAGATGCAAAAGATATCATTGTTAATGGGCGTGTTCCTCTCACATAGTTTGTCATTTCAGATCAGGACATTAAAGTCTATCGCCTGTTGAGAAATCATTTCTGCTGCTCTGTATACTTATTTTTGAGACCTTCTACTTCAGTAAGTTAAATAAAGTCACAATAAAGCTCATCAGTTGTTAAGTCCTATCTGAGGTGACCCACTAGGTGGTTAACTGGTTGTTGCTTTGTGTCTTTGACCTTTGTCTTTTTATCTTAAAATCATGCAATAGCAAAATAACTGGCTTTTCCTGAGTCTCCAGTCTTTACACCCACATCATGTCATCATATGACTGCAGTCATCTAAAAGTTGCAAAATTGGAAAACTAGACAAAACTGGAATTGCGAGTCATTGTGTGCTCCTTGAGTTATTTTAAGAGCTGAAATTGACAAGAGCAGGGAGAAGACTGGCGTGCTTATCTATCAGTTTGCTGAGAGACAGGATAAAAATGCAGTTTTTAGATTCAATCCACCCTAAATATTCACTGAACAGACAACATCTTTAGACAGTATCCTCACTGGAGGCAGATACATAATTAAATGGGACAATCAATCCCATGTGAGCCGATTTGAAATTGTGCTTCCAGCTAAGGACTTTGCTGCTTTTCGTAAGGATTTACATAAACAAAACTGCAAAACTCTCCAAGTGTTTGGAAGGGTATTCACATAAGCAAACATCAATTAATGACTGTAAGCAATGTTGTCATGACTAAGTCATGTAATGGCAGCACCTGGTAAATGACAGGTTAGAGCAGGCATGGAGCTGCAAGGGAGTCGTGTTTTTCTACTTGGTAATAAGCACATACAGAAGCTACATGTGAGCAAGAAAACCCTGGAAAACAGACCAGTCACATGATCACAGAAATTACACACTTATTCAGATTTATTACATTAGAATTGAAGGCTCTAGATCAGCCATCAATCATTACAACTTACTTCTGTCGAGGGTCTGCTGTTGTGTTTGACTTTGTGTCTCATGTGTCAACATACAGAGAACAAAAGCGCTCTGGACAGCCCTCACAAAACTCTTTTGGATGCTTGACCTTAGCAGGAGCTTTTAAAAAAGGCTCTCAAAGACCCATCACAGGATCTGTGGTTAGGTGTAAATGTGTGTGTCATGCATGTGGGTGTGCGGGTAAAACTGCTTTGTCACTTTATCAGCAAAACTACAATTTACCAATAAACACAAAGTGCTCTGCACGGATGCATCAGCAACATTTTGGTGCACACTTTTGCTCGCACTGACTAGTTAAAAATGCCCCAGTGTTACAAGTGGTGTGTGACAAACTGTGACCTCCATATCAAATAGTGGTTGGAAATAACACGAGGCATTCGGTCTGAAAGTTGAAGTGGCTGTTCGAGAAGTGTTTTTCTTCCATGGCTCCACATGTGACGATCGCATTTATTTCGATTTCTGTTGAACAAATAGTTTTCCTCTTGAAACCCTGATCAGCACATGCCAATCTGCAACTTACCTCACTATCACTGTCTGAGGAGCTACTGGAGGAAGATGAAGATGAAGAAGAGGAGGAGCTGGAGCTCTGTTAAGAAAGAAGGAGAATATTAGTGCTTAATTTTACGTACAGAAGTTTATGTAAACAATCTTTTGTTTATGAAACGATACATGAGAAGGAATGAGCCATGGCCAACACGCCCCAGTGAGTTTCTGTCATACGAGGGCAAGTTGTGTCTGTGACTGCATATGGGAGAGGCCCTTCAGGCACTTGGCAACACACATAAAGGAAAACTCCACAAACAAGCACACATGCACACACCTATCCCTGCTATGTCGTTAACCACTTGTGCAACAAGCGACAGTTGAGCCACACATGGAACAAACGATTCTCTCCTGTTTGACTGTACTCCACTCCTCTGTAAGAAGCTGTAACTCATGATTTCAGCACCACATGTGCTCCCGTCAGGACAAATCCTTAAGAAAACTGCTGAGTTAACTTAGCAGATACCAGAAAATATTTACAAACAAAAAATTCCAAATACAATCAATACCGTTTTCATCGGCAGTTCACTTTACTGAACTCTGTCACACTTACTTTCTTCTTCTTCTTTTTCACCTTCTTTTTCTTCTTTTCTTTCTTGCCGATACCCTCATCTTCGCTGTCTGGAGAACTGTCAAGTGAATACATCTCCTGGTAAACACAAGAGAAGTAGATGTGTTATCTTCAGTGGGGAAATTGAGCCTGTGAACAGAGCTGCTTTAATTGCTTCACTATCATTAGATAATGGAGAAGTCACAACGTGTGTGCTTTGTTTCTCCTGCTCACCTCATCTCCTGTTCCTGCAGGTTTCCCGATCTGAGTCTTGTCTCCCTGCGTCTTGGCCAGCTCCGCAGGCCCTTCTACTTCAGCCGGGGGCTGCGAACCGCCAGAGGGCACCGCTGCAGGCTGGACGCCTGCAGTGTCTCCTCCACCTGCAGTTAAACAAGTGAGGTGAGCAGTGTTACAAATATCTGCCTGAAAGACATCGATTTTTCTGAACGCTCAACTAATGAGTAATCTGTGTATACAAACATCTGTCTTATCAGCCTATTTTTAACATGCACTTTTAATAAAATATTAAAATAAATAAAAAACACATATGACAGCATAATATACCAGGACTTCCTTGTTATCCAACTTTCTTAAAAGGACAGCCAGGTTAAAACAAAGAAATTAAAAATCAGTCATCAACACCAAAACTGTGCCTGCATATACTTTATAGTTGGCTATAAATCAGTGAATACTCTAATAATTAACAATTTGGGGAAGTGCCACACCCCTGACAGCAGGAGAAAGGTTTAAAAAGAGCCTGCTGTCTACAAATATGAAGCGGTAGGAGTGCATCAGCTGAAATCTCCCTGCAGCGATTATTCTGCACATTTAAAAAGCCATTATGCAAAAATAAATACATTTAATCCACACTTTTCAAACTGTAAAAGAAAAAAAGAAACAAGGCAGTTAACAAATAGCAAACCTTTGAGGAGGGTGGACTCCATTTCAGTCCAGTTCTCTCCTCTTTCCAGGAGTCCAGGTCTCATCTAACAAAGCCACCTGATCACATTTATAACAAGGTGTGGGTGTGTGGAGCCCTGGGGTGGAGAAACAGGGAGGGCCAAAAGCAGAAACTTCCCCACATCAGTTTCAAAATAAAGGTCACTATAAAAGAAAGTCACCAATCAGTTCTGTCTGTTATCTTTTTTTTGTACCCACTACTTATTTTTCACCACGAAAAGTTCACGGCTGTCTTTTAAGAGGATATCTGATTATCTGATCTAATTCTCTAAATTGTATTTATTTGCCTCAGTCTTATTCAGAAAGCTGCTTACATACATTGTATTTGACTGTCACCATCTGTTTGTGTTATGAGACTTACTTAGCTTGAAAGGCTGGTTTACCTGTGCAAACAGGTGGTGCTAGTTTTATGACTGGAATGTAGCCTGTGGGCATTATCTGCATGAATTAAAACATTTGGAAAGTGTTGCAGGAGGATTGCCATTGCTCTAGCAGGTCAAAGCAGGGAATTATCAAAAAAAATGTTTTAACTATCCATGATTCCAAAATGTAGGAATAGGTTTAGAGGAATAAAGCTCTTTGCCTTTAATGTGGAGCATTAAAGGAAAAAATAGAAAGAGAGAGAGAAGTGATTTAATCATGTTGCTGCTATGTCGCCTCCTAGAGGAGGATCATGGTTAACTTAAAACCACAACATTCTGCTAAGCAGGGGTGTTCCTGGGCCACATACAATCTTTTTGATCTGGAGTGAGAAAAATAAAAATAAACTGAGAAACATTATTTAAAAAGGAAGGATTTGTGTTATTAAAATTTTATTAAAGTGCAACAAAGTGCATTCTGAAGATGTTTAAATGCTTAGAAAAACTAAAACCATGAGTCCAAATGCAATTTGCCCCATTCAAAGTTTTGCCAAATGCTAGAATGCAGTAAAATGCAATAGTGCTTTCCGAAAGTCTTTCAAAGGTTTTTTCCCACCCATTTTCAGTCCAGTTCTTGTACAGACCCTTTTTAGAGGTTTCTTTTTAAACCCACTTGACGCTGAGCTGTGAATTATTCAAGCATAAAAAATGTACCTGAGCATTTAATGCCCTTCAAGAGGCCCGGAGAGGAATGGGCAATGTAAGAAATGACAAGAAAGCTTGGCTAAGAGAGTTCAGGCTGTTGTAAAGAATAAAAGTGTTCATCTCAAATATTGACTTTCATATATGTTATTATCATACAAAGTCTTTTTGCCTTATATACTTTTTTCCATGCATATTTGCACATCTTCAATAAACCAATAAAGTGAGGCGTGGCTCAGAGGACTGTAAGGACTTTACTGCAATTTTCACACTTAGCAGTTAGTCAGCGGGACAACACAGGCCCTTTCACTGGTCCCCGAGCCGCGTGTTTGATACCTCTGAATCTGTTTCTTCGTCGCTTCCGTAGTACAACTGGTCAGTGAAGTTAGCTAAAAAGGCTACAGGCTTGAGATCCGGAAATGGGGGCTTAAATAAGAGCGAAATGAAGTCCCACAATACCACTTGAAGATTAAAAAATAATAATCAAAATACATTTTAAATATATATATATATATTTTTAAATTCCTCTTGAATACAACTAATGTGTGGAAAGAGAAGCAACTTTAGGTAAGGTCAACGGAAGACAGCAGGTTTATTTTGAAATTTATCCGGAAGAAGTTACGGCGTGTAGCTGTATCTTAGGTTGTATACCAAACTCTGGCGAAGGATAGAAATACGCTTTCTTTTATTTACGTTTTTTGTGTTTTAAATCACGAGTTTGTCAGTCTAGTTTAACTTCATAATGTAGAGGAGCTAGCTAACGCTCGTTTGCTAGCGGAAAGCCGGCACAGAGGGACGGTTACTTTGTTGACCCTCATCCGTACTTCTTACCGCTCTTTGGTCATGTTTCTGTACCCAACACATTTTCTGTTTTGGGGCATTTTAAAGGGTCACTTCTTCGGCCACTCTGTACGTGGAGGACCTACGGTGCGCTATGACTTCTAGCTAAACTCGACTGACTGGTCGTCGTCATGCCGAGAGAAGCGACGTCCGCTCCGCTGACGGTGACTGTGCTGGCAGTGCTGTGGGTCAGTGTGGGTCGGTGCCATGTCTTCGGATCTCTGGGGCAAGGATGTGATAATGGAAAGGTAACAGTCTCACTACCTGTGTGTGTCTGCTGGTGTAAAT